TACTCGAGACTATAGCTGAAGGTCATTAACGGTGGTTTAGATAGCGTCATAAATATAAACCTTGAGCCAGCTGAGGGTGCGTTCACATACTGCCTTCGTGCTAGCTACTGAACTTTAACCAAATTCAGTATTGAATATTAAGCCTTTATTTGGTAATTATGCAAAAATCTGCTATCTAGAGGTTAGGTTAAATAGAAGGCAATAGCCAAAATATATTTGTCACAGTCAATTAGCTTTATTAGTCATTCAATCAACGGTCAGGATGACTAGTTGTTTGATTGATTGCCTGGATTTCTAATTCAGTACATTTTGATAACTGTTTATTTGTAATGGTGATTCGATTTCTGTGCGGTTCGCAGTTCTAACTTAACCCTTTTTTTTTGTGGGGGTAAAATCATCAAATTACTTCTTTGGTCCAGGGTATGCCGAGTTCCTTCTCCTGCTCCAGGTCGAGGTCTCGGTACCCTATAGCGCTTGACCTGCGGCTCCGCCTAAACGTTGGCTACGTTGGGCCGCATCCGTACTGGTTTATTTTAAACCTCATTTTCATATCAAAAAGTTTTAGTTTTGTCGGAAACCAGACTCAATATAAAAATATATAGTTTCAATAAAAACTCTTTGTGAAAAAAAAGGAATGGTGTGAACCGACCAGAGAATGTATCGGAGACTTTGTAACTTGATCAGACATAATTCAATGTTCAGTGAATTTTGGTTCATAATTAGTCAAGTGTAACATGCATCGGATGAATCAGGTGTCTTCATTATCTACGTACTAATATACAAAATCACGCTTAATTTATTTAAAGGGATGCAATAATTTAAAATCTGTAATATTATAAAGAGGTAATATTTGTAAGTTTGTATCTTTGGAACTGCCGTTCGGATTTCCGAAATTCTTTCACTAATACGCTACAATGTTGCTCACTGACAAAAGTCGTGTGTTGTATGTTAAGAATTACTAAATAATAATTAAAATCACTCTTTGTATAATATTTCCCGTTAATAACGACGATTGATGAGACGATTCAAGTCAGACTGAAAACGAAATATACAATTACTAGCTTTTGCCTGCGACTTCGTTCGTGTGAAATAGTGACTTCCTGCAGATTTTTGATATAAAAATATCCTATGTCCTTTCTCGAGTTCCAAACTATATCTGTACCAAATTTCACACGAATCGGTTTAGTAGTTTAGGCGTGAAGAAAAGACAGACAGACAGACAGAGTTACTTTCGCATTTATAATACTTGTTTTGATTCCGAAGAATTAATTCTATTGGGTTTAATACAAAGTACCTATTTATCACATTTATTCTTATAAGGTAAAAAATCACAAATCAAAAATCATCAGTATTCGAATTATATTTTAATTTGTTATAAGTACGTAATTAAAGTTGGAAAGTAAATAAAAATCTGCAATAGAAGTGCAAAAAAGACCAATATTTCATCCTTTTCACAGGATAAGCAGAGCGAAGCATTATGAGTGCTATTGCAAACATCCTGCAAATGGCATATACATATATGAATATTCATCTGAAGCCTATTTATTTTTTTGTGTTTACATGCCTTTTGCTGGTAATTATTTATGCTAAGCACTGGTGGTCGTGTCCTCATAGTAATGTACTAAGATCGATTGGCAAAACTTAGTCAATTACTTTCTTTAATTATTAAGATATAACCTTGTTAATAGTCGACAGTTAGGGCTTTTTATGTGTGAGTGAACGTGTTATAACTAAAAACTATGATTTAGGGGCGTTTAACGTGTTCTTAAAAATATTTTTTTCCTATTACCTACAAAATCTGATTATCTCAACAGTTACCCTGGTAATGTATTTACTAATTTAGTCCATTCGTCTGTACACGATTTTTTAATGTACTCAATACTACCTATAGAAACGAAGGATCCCAAAATGTGCAGACAGCAATTGCGAGATATATAAACCGCGTCCTCCCATTGCCAAATTGGGATCGGTAAATAAGGGTACCTACCAATGTTTTCATTTTCGGAGAATACGGCCGCGAAAACATCGCCTTTCAACTCTTTAATTATAAAACACGGGAGAATTTCGCCAAGACATAAAATGAAATATTAAGTGCAGTATCCCACGGAAGAGCATATGCCCGGCGTAGCACTGTTACTGCACATACATATAAGGACTATTGGGTTCCATTAATTAGAGGGCCGTTATTAAAACGCAACACCGTATATCCCGCTCAAAATTTACGACGTCTTTATTTCCCCGACACTCGAACATTATAAATCAAAACGTCGAAATTCCGCCAAAGATAACCGTTCCCTTTAAGTATATATAAATTATCCCACTTTCAACTCGTTACGTACTGGATGTGATTAAAAATAATAATGTTACGAGTAATGAACGGCGGAGAGAGATTCGCTCAGTCATTTGTCTTGTTCTTATTAACAGTTTGAGTGGTGTTAATGGTGCGAAATTGTTGTAAAGGGATTATCATCGACACTTTAATACGAAAACAAGCAGACTGATTTCATCGGTCGAACCGAACGCACGTATAGTGTGGACGTACGTCTTATTGCTGCAATTAGTTTGCAATTACATCGAACACAATCGATATAATTCGCCAATTCTGATCGTATCTCATTCCGAATGTAGTTACTGGTGTTAACGTACTTACGAGTGCAGTTGTAAAAGATTCATAATTTTAACAGCCTTTCTGAAAATGTTATTGGTAATATTTGTTGAATTTTTTTCCTTAATCTTTGTAGGTACTTATATTTTTTTCTCTTTCTAATGGATTGTCTCCTGTGTCGTGGGTGCGTTCTCGAATCTAATTTTAATATCCATGATTATAATTGTTTCAAAGTGGGGAAAATCTTTAAATGACTTTTATCGGCCTGGGTAAGGCGAGAATTAAGTCTTTTAGGAACTAATAACTTCCATATTTCTTCTCTTGCTCTAGGCCAACGCCGCAGTACATTGCGCATAACCCGCAACCCTGGATGAACATCAGCCCTGATGGGTCCCAAATGTGGTGGTCAGATCATATGGTCGGTTTTGGTTCAGGTCAATGATGCTGTGGCCATAAACGCTTACACATTTTATCCTAACTAGCGAAATTAAATACAATTAATAAAAATACACAATGGTTTAATAAAATTTTACCGTTTTGTACTAAACGGTTCATTAATGCCTATCCTTTGAAATACTAGATCGTCATAAAATTTCAAGCATTCAGATAAAAGAAAAATGGCAAGATGATAAAGTAAAAAGATTAAAGATAAAAATGTATTGGTTATTTATCGAATAAATAACCAATACATTTTTATTAATTCCAACAAATATTAATGTCATTTATAAATTGTTTGTGGATTCACCTTACCTACTCATAATAATCTAGAATATTCCCAGTAGAGATTGCTAGGATATCTAGCATTTAACTTATGTAAATATTCACATTATTTTACATATGTTTCAATTTCAATAACTGGTTTTATTATTAGTTTCTTCAAGTAATTAATAAACTTATACATTTTAAATTAATAATTTATTACAACATAGCTATCCGATGTAGTGATCAAAGTATCTATTGAATCTATCATTTTAATAGGTATGAATCTGCATACCTAGTACCTATAGTACCTACCTACAGATATATATAAAAAAAACTGAAGATGGAGAAAGAGTTTATTTATCAAATTGGCAGTAATGAATTTGTAACCTGTATGCTGCTACAGTTCATGAGTGACGCCGATTGCTTACCATCAAGTGAATTTGCTTGTGTGCCGACCCATGCCATCAAAATGTATAAAATTGAAAAATAAAAAAAAAACCAAAAATGTGTGTTAATTTTCTGAGAGCACACGAAACGATTATGTTCTGCGAAACAATTATAAATACGTTTAAAAAAAACAGTTTAAGCTACATATAAATAATAGGTTTCTTTTAAGATCAACGGAAATGTCACATGTCTGGGGATACAGGACAAGTAGTCGTCGCCTAATATTGATGTGAAACTGAAAGTACAAGTCGTACAAGAATCGTAAAAGGCAGTTGCGTCGTCGCACCGCCTCAGAATAGACGTAGATCTTCCGAATAAGGCTCTTAAGTTACTCGTAAAAATGTTAATAGGTACAACTTAACTAGTTTATAGAAACATGTTGATTGGCGACACAGTCTACAAGAGCTAGGTTAGCTGCCACTTTCGTTATCCCCTAGAATAAGTCAGGAGATTATTAATTGTTACGTGGAAACTTTTCTTTCTATAGTGCTAATAGTATTTTATGCCGTTCACAAAAAATGTGGTTCTTATTTCGACGAAATACGAGTATTTAGGTACATCTTGCCCCACTTCTTTGGGTTTTTTAAGCTGTAGACACCAATTTTGGACTGACCTACCAAACCTTAACCATATTGGTACTATGACTCTCTGCATCATCATATCTATCATGAGCCACAATAGATCTACCGCTAAAAATATGTCATCTCCGGTCACACACGTGGCTTTTGAGGAATATGGATCTGTAAGACTACCAATATGTAAAAGAACTAAGATCTAAAATATCACATTAGATTTTAACAAAAATAATATACGCGATCGTGTCCATAAACAGACATTCGCTTTGTATTTTTTGTAGCGCACCATTAGTCATCGACTTAAAATTTGATTTACTTGCGCACATTAATTTCTGGAGCTTAAGAACTTATATTATCTTCTGTTTTATTAAGCAAACAATAAAACTGTTCGAGCTCGAATATTTGAGGGCGTTTATAATCGGGTAAGTAATGAAAGGTTCATTGTCATCACAGAGGTCGTAGAGCTTAGGGACCCAAAATTGAACTACAGTCTAAGTAAAGACGGATGTATTTCCGACGACTCTTAAAGGTCATTTACCCGTTGAGGTGAGACAATCCTTCTGGTCTCTCTTTTCTTTATTTTACTATCAATTTCCAGATGTAGATTAGATTTGCTTCAACAGTTCTCCAGAGGGATCTTCATGGTACTATCATTCTCTACAATTACTTACCGTAGTTTGAGAGAGCATGATCCGATCCTCAGCGCTGCTTCTAATACAGTGACTGCAGCTTGGTATTGTCCAGCTGCCAGTAACTCTTGACCAACCACCTGTAGACAAAATATTGAATTAAGGACATTTTACTCTAAAGGTCATGATAGGTTGGGCTACGGAATAATAAGTATATGAAAGACATCTTTGGTGGCAAATTTGCTAGCATTGAGATTCCTTGATTTTCAAAGTTCACTAAAGCTTTTTTTTATCAGACATCGAGGTTGGTATATTTCAATTGCTTACGTATTTAGACAATTTAAATATAATCTGTTATATACAAATTGATGAAGTAAATTTTGTTGATCTTCTGAATCACAACCGGACTCCGACTTATTTCGGCGCTCTTGATCTCACATTTGATATCATTTACTTTTTAAGTCCGGTATAATAATAAACTAATGTATGTACAAAAATGCGAATTTGAGTATCATTGGCGGCTACAAAAACCGCGACGAATTTTTAAGACCCATTAAGTTTGTGGTTACGATGGCTGCAGGAACATTTAGTCCAGTGATTTGTACTTAGCTGTCTGTATAAAGCAATAATATCGTATCCAAGGAACACCCAAGGAGGGATCATCTGGATTAGGAATATTCGCCAGTTTAAGAACAAAATTGCAATTCCATGAAATATGTTTGGCAATCGTCGCTTTTTTCTATGTTGCATGCATGTAGTTTTTAATAGAGTAGGAGTTTCCACATTAAAATAAAAATGTTTTTGTCATACTTAAGTAATTGCCTAAGGAACTAAACTAGATCCCTGCTTTCAACCACTGCACCCATATGAAAAGACAAGATGAGGAAACCTCGTATTTAGAAAATGTAGACTGGAACCATCGAGATCCCGTTTTATGTAGACCAGTATTAAATTGAAATGCTTGATTATTTGACATTTTGACTCTGTTCAGCACTTACTAAAACATCCTAATAATTTTCATCAATTTATGGCGAGATTAGTAAAGCGCTTGACTTGTTAACGTGCAAGAAAGTAGATAATCGAGTGCCGGCACTATTATATTATCACAGTGTTTAAATCGCTTCAATTACGGGTTTCAGTTCAATTCGGTACATTGTATGCGCGACGCGGCCGCCATTTTGTGGTAGTGCGACGCCATTTCGGCCATTCACGTCTGGGCTGCCGATCAACTGTCGCGCAGATTGTATGTAAATTCACGGGGGTCGGTCGCGTATTTATGGGCCTTTGATCACTCAGCCCCATTGTCTGAGACTTAAATGCGCCGAAAAATGTTCAGATGTCGCCCGACTGCACGCCAGCGGAATGTATGCAAATAGTCCGCTCGCTCGCTCTGTGTATGGGGTGCTTAATATTGCCAACATCGACGACTCCTAAATGTGCCATTATTTGTATAATGATACGATTGTATTTGCGTAAAGTGGTTTCTTTTAATATGTCACTTAGTGAATACGTGCGAATCGTGTTAATGTTGTAGTCTCATTCACGACTTGAATCAATCTTTAGCAGACTTTGATGTTACCAATTTTGGAAAAGGTAATTACTGCCTTCATTAAAGTGTACCAAACGTGTGGTTTGTGAAATATTGTCCGATTTTGAATGCTCGTGTTTTTCGTGTATTCTTATTCTTATAAACATGTACAGAAAAAAGGAAACGAAAACGTCCTCTATAGGTCAGTGTTTTATGTAAATCTTGGCTTCTGTCCTCATGTCTCCGTCAGAGTTGATCCAACGACTGACAATGCACATATTTCCGGAGGTACGTTAATGGATCGCATTATTTTGGGTTCGAGGCATGGAAAGCCGCAAGCTATCGGTACTGTATATTCTGTCGAGACAGGCATCCTTAGAGAAAACACATTTTATGGCATATTTTTCTCAACGTTTTAAGTAAACCGACCGAGGAGCTGAAAGTCATTAATCTAACGTTCTTAGTATTTTACATTATGTATGTACTTCGTTGAAAGTATTTTATAAACAATGTCTTTCATGACGGTTTGTTTTAGAATTGCCATTTTGGATGTAATTATTTATTTGCTTCTAAAAAGGTAAAGTGTTGTATTATGTCTTCAGCGATCATGAAATATTACCTCGTGCATTACCTTCTATATTAGGAGCCCATCAAAATTTTTTATTGTTAATTTACCGAGCGGGATTAAACTAACCGTAATGACATTTTAGCAAATACCAGAAACACAAATGATGTTTTATTGTTTATTGAAAAAAAAAATACACGTGATCATCATTTGGCAACGCGATGCCGCCGCTAAGCGCATCTGCTCATGAATAAGAGTCCCGTTGTGACTTGAAACTAGTAGAGCGTTCCTCAGTTAGTTCGCGGTAGTCATTATTCAAAAATAATTTATTAAATACCACGACCACTAACCCCAACCGAACAAATAATATTACTAACAATATTTCTCATTTTCAGTACTCAAACAAATTCAAAGGATTGTAGGAGGATTAACATTTACTAGATTTAAGTACGACATGGCAACATTTTAACGCGTCAGCGTAGTGACCTGAACGTTTACATAGAAAACGGTGCGTTTGCGTCAGTGCAGTTGTTGTAAACATGCATTTATTTGCGATAATCCTAAGTAATCCTCAACCATACTTAAATTTACACAGTAATGCTAAGACGAAACTCATGTTAACACGTTTAATCCTTTCAATTTTGCTATTCCCAGGCTAGAAGGAATGAGCCTAGACTTTTGAAAGGCGACATTTAATTATACAGGATTTAAACTTTAGCCAGATATTGTTACATGATTATTAATACAGTATATTTACGTAATGTTTGTGCTTGGATAGGTTATTATAAGCCGCCTTTGTGAGCTCGAATAGTGACTCATAGTTTTTAAGTATTATAAAAAGTGGAATGGTCATCATCATCATCATCATCATCCTTTTTCTTCCACTGCTGGATTAGGCCTCTCTTACAGCACGCCACTGAGCTGGGTGTTCAGCTCTTCTCATCCAATACATTGCCTTTGCCTTGCGGATATAGTCAGTCCACCTATGTAGCTGACCGCCGTATCCTCAGGGAAGTGATCGGCGGCGGCGACCTCTCGCGCCCGGCCTTAGTCGAGGCCATGGTGCGGAGTGAGAGGAACTGGGACGCCGTCTCCTCCTTTTGTGAAGCAGTCATGCTCGCAAAGAGAGAGGCGGCCCGCGTGAGGGAGCAATCCTCCTCCTCACGCCCCAGCAGCCGCAACTGGCGACACTACGGGCGTCGGGGATCGAGGGACGATCTCCGGCCACCGTAAGTACGGGCCTGCGGTCGGCGAGTAAGGGCAGCTCGCCGCCCGACCAGAACCAGGCCCGAGCGTACGGCGCGTAGCGTTCCGCGCGCGCCTCAAAGAGCCAATAGACCACCACAGACGGGGCCCTAAAGGGCTGATGTTCAGCCGGGGTTGCGGGGTAAGCGCAATAAGGTACCGCGACCTCGGCACAGAGCAGGAGAAGGAACAGGGGGGTTTTTAGTCAGTAAGAGTCTGACACTCCCTCCTGCCCGGCCCTGGGCGGGAGAAGTCATTTGATGATTTTCCCCTCACAAAAAAAAGGGTAGAATGCTAATACATATATTTTTTATATAAGTACCAGTTTCAAATAATGGTAGATGACGGTGCAAATGCGGTAAACAACATATATATTATATTTTAACAGTTACTAAACGCTGGTCATTTTACTAAGGCCCCGAATGAAACGCGACTGAGCCGTGGGAATATGTGTTTGCTGTTTTAAACACATGACACCATTGTAGGTATATATATCTTGGTTGTTAACTACTAATGGTGTAAGAAAACTTACGCGAAAAAGTAATATGTACGTTATATAATTACTAGAAAATTACGTGTTGGTATGTAAAGTACTGTGTGAAAGTACTCTCATTTCATTTATATAAGAACGCGTCAAATAGATGATGGAGCGAAGATCACATTTCTGATACAGGCTCTTAATATTTTAGTCCCAAAAACCACGAAAGGCTACGTATTTATTGGTGGCCCCAATTGCGTAACACCAGGTGGTTCATCTGCTTGTTTAAAAATGATCACTGCTATAATTTTACCTAGGTTGATAATACGACCAATTAGGTCATTTCAATGTATGTGTGTCGTCACAGACATCTTTTCTATTTTTTTGTGAGTGGAAAATCATCAAACTACTTCTCTAGCCCAGGATGACCCGAGAAGGAATGTGACTTTTACTGACTAAAAATGCGTCCACTCCTTTTCCTGCTCTAGTCAGAGCCTGCGGTACCTTTCTTTCTGCAGATGCAAACGAAACACCAAGCTGCGTCTTTATTAAAGGTGCGTTCACAAACATAAAACTTCACATACCCGGCTCAGGAGTCAGAACAACAATTTGTAAATCACACAAAAGTTATTCCGTGCGGGAATCAAATCCGCAACATGTTGAACGGCAGCCGGTTGCTCAACCACCACGTCAATTGTGCAGTCGAAGTCTTTCAATCAAGCTACTTGTATTGATTATGAAGTAGTTAAATGTGCGAGTGTTCATTCGACAATGGTGTATTCGCCACAAGAATAGATAAGCAAAGTTCAACTCTATGATCTTGTGCAAACAACACTTAACTTTATGGCAATAAAATAATTTATCGATTGTTTAGACATTTATACTCGAGGAGATTTATGTACGAAATGGCAATTTTACACGGAAATGTAGTGAAATGTAGGTAAACCACTTTCTTGGGCAAAGGTTTCGGTTTTGTTTATAAAATTGAGCTTTTACTATTTAATATAGATATAAGATGTTAAGAACTAGCTACTCTTGCGCGGTTTCACCCGCTGCTCGGCTCATTTGATTGTAGCGTGATATTTTATAGCCTCCTTTTTATAGCCAAGAATTTATGCAACCCGACCAGCAGTGTGATTCTGTAAGACTTCATTCTAAACTTCGAATCTGTTTGACAATCCATTGAGTTACAAAACATCCTACAGCTAGTAGGTTCAACCTTAATAGGTTCAACCGGGTTTGCGGGGTAAGCGCAATAGGCGCAGGAGAAAGAACGGTTTTAGTCAGTAAGCATCTGACCCTCTCGCCTCACCCCGGGCAGGAGAAGTTATTTGATGATATTCTCCATACAACAAAAAAACTACTGTTGCTCTGTTCCAAGTCAATCCAAGACCATATGCTAAATAACCAAGCCCAAATGAGACAGTCGATTAAATAATATAAATTATATGCTACCAAAATAAATGTGAGGGTGCAACACGAAGATTCGTGTATCCCTCGCAGACTCGACACTATTCTTACAACATTATTAACATAATGCCATCGTGATAACGAACGAAATTGCATTCAGTTTATTTAGAAGGGCTCCCGACTTGCAAACCTGAACTTAGTTGCTTCTTTTAATTATGCTTGCACGTTTAACATTATGAGCTGTTCAATATGTTGTGTAATTTTCTTTGGATGTAATGAATATTTAGAATTTAAAAAATAAGTCTGGTAATATTTTTTAAGTAGAAATGCGAAAGATTAACACAAACTACTACTAAGTTGGCCACACCATGTCGCCGCGACGCGAGAAGTAAGAGTCCCGATGTGACTTGAAACTAGTAGAGCCTTTTCCAATTAGTAAATCACGTCAGTAAATCGTTATTTTGAGTTAAAAAAAGACTATGAATTCCAGTTGATTGATTTAGTCATTCTGAATTTTAAAATTAATTCCTGCTTTAATAGTAAAACTAGCTGAATTTTAAAATTAATTCCTGCTTTAATAGTAAAACTAGCTACTATTACACAAAAAATCAATAAAATGTCTTACCGATATTAAAACAAAAGGCGATTGATCCAGCTTCATAGCTTCCAACTGTCTGAAAGTAGGCTCCAAGGTTGTACGTAGTGGTGATTTCAGGGAGGCCTCGACCAGCGCTGCCAACAACTGCCTTGAAGATGGTTCCACTCCCAACCCTGAACTGAAGGCTGCAAGCGCTTCGCCATGTCGACCCAAACATTGTAGTGCCACCCCTGGTAAAAGAATAATAGATTAATCCTTATTATATTTACGAGTAACTATATTTTATTGAAAATCACTACTTAATCACATCAGTAAACTGAGAAAAGCTCCACAAGTTGGCCACGGAACGTCGACGCTACGTTGGTTGATGAATGAATAAGAGTCCCGTTGTGATTTGAAACTGGTTGAGCTCAGTTTATTCACGTGATTAAGTTATCTAAACTATAATATTATAAATGCGAAAGTAACCCTGTCTGACCGTCTTTTCTTCACGCCTAAACTACTGAATCGATTTCAATGAAATTTGCTACAGACATAGTTTGGAAGTCGAGAAAAGACGTAGTTATACCAAAATCTGCAAGGAGTCACTATTCCACGCGAAAGGAGTCGGGGGTAAAAGCTAGTTTTTAATAAACTAAGTGTGTCTCTTTTATTTAACTTTTAGTATTTGTTTGAGCAGTGGAATCTTGTTACAAAATTTTGTAACAGATATCTTCAACCCATGAACCGAAATTATGCTTAAAAGTTTAGTTTCCATAACCATAAATGTTAAAGTTACCAACTTTCTTTTTATTCTAATTATTATGTTTTCGGCTTACTCACATAATAATTTGACGAGATAGGTACTCAACTAGTGAGTAGCAGCGCGACAGTCGCCGAGTCGCGTGTCGCGGAATGCTGCTCATGAATATGGGCCTCTAGCATGGCTTGAAACTAGTCGAGTATCTCGCCAAATTATTACGTGAGTAAGCCGAAAACATAATAATTAATTTCTTTTTATTCCTTAAAATGTCCTCAAAGTCCTCTAAGGTACCAGGTCAGTCTTGTTTTACAAAAATCTTTTCAATAATAAGTTTATTAATATCACAATTTCACTTTCACATTACGTATTACTTTCGAAGACGTCGTTGTTGTTAACATTTTATAACATTATCAACGCAAGAATGTTAATTTCAATAGAGTATGGGAAAATTAATTTTCTTGTTTGTCTATTGTATTCTATGCTCTGTTTCTTAGCTCGCGGTTTTCTAGGTTTTGAGTAAATTATGTAACCATCCGTATTTCGTATATCGTATATGTTACAACCTTTACTTTTTAGGCACATATCAATAATATATCTATCTATAGATAGTTTTTATGTTTATTTTAAACTAGCTGCCCGCCCCCCCGCTTCGCACGGGGACGACTATCTCGCTATCAAAGGGTCATTTTTCCTAATCTTCCACTCTACTTTTCTAATATTTTCTTAACTTTGATAGTAACCTTCTCCTGACAATAACAAGCACAACAAAAAAAGAATCAGTAGAATTGGTCCAGGCATTATTGAGTTATGCGCTTACCAACATATTTTGCGATTCATTTTTATATGTATAGATATGTATAATACCAATAGAGACAGCTTATAATAATACCTAGAATCTGTATTAACACATTAGATTATTTCTTTTCCTTTACTGCGAACTATTGTTGCAAATAACAGTACAGACACGTCTCTGTAATTATTTCGCCAACGTTCTTGTTCAATATTCTCACACCAGCAATTATGTATCAAACAATGGGATTACTTAATAAATTGATTGGCAATTAGTTACCGCTTTCCTTTTGACGCTCAACTTTTAATAAGAACTGCTGTAAGGGTTATGATAGCGAGTGATCGTTGTTTTTGTTAATCACTGGAATAATCAACAGATGGCGCTGTTCAGTAATTTAACAAGGGGGCAATAGTCCATCTTTCAAGAATCCAGTAGTTTCCAACTAGTTAAATTCAATACTTTTATTGAAATTTTAAAATCTTCGTAGTTTCTATGAATTTTGTATGGAATCATAATGTTTTAACAACAAATTTAGACGATTTACCTATTTCAAAAATGTGCTATACTTACATTATCTAAAGGAATAAAAAATGAATGAATGTATGATTATAATTATTTTAACAATTAATGGAAAAAATAGCTTATTGTCCAGGTAACTACCCTAATTAGAAAATATTCCGATGTTTATAATTCTCCTATATTTTAATATCTAGGAAGGAATAAGAAATCTATTATGTGTATACAAAAAAAATAAAATAGAATAGTAATATCTATGTTTTTGTTTAGAACTCGACATGAACAGGGCTTTATCTCAATTAAAGAGAAATCTAGTGCAGTGGTAGACAATTTTAGAATACATTAAAGTAATAACAAGTGTAAATCATTCTGAATAGCTATGGTAAATATGGCATTAGAAAATGAGCGAAATTCTAATAATTATTCTTTATTATTAATGGTGGCTGGCAGTGACAGGACGAAGTGCTGAATATTAAGACACACTTCTGGACTTCTGGAGATTGTAAACAGACATATGATGACAGACAATATTTATATGGGGTGTTTTATCTAGGTTTATAAAAGTTCACATTAACGAGAACTGATAGGCAGAATAGAGCAGGATTTTTAAATTATATTAGTCCAGAGTTAATGAATGTAGCATTTGCATTTTTTTATTTAAAAAAGTATACATATATCGTGTTCATCATACTATAGGTGCTTTGGTACTTAATTTTTAGTCAATAACAGACTAACACTGCCGTTCGCCATACCATGGGCGAGAGAAGTAATTTGATGATTTTTCCTCCTCAAAAAAGTTTCCTCTCGATGATTTCCTTTGTTTACATTGGTTGAAAGAGTCATACATATGTACTCGTACTTTTTAGGTTGGGATTTTTATGAATAGGAAATAAGCATCTTAAGCTTCGGGACATAACATCAATTTTAACATATTAACATCAACATTCAACACGTCTATTATTTGTTCTGAATGAAGAACAATCTGACGTTGTAATTGCTACAATGACATTCTACACGAGTATTAACAATTAAATGATCAATTTACTTGTAAAACGTCGTTACTTGTGTACACTGTCACTACATATCTAGTTGGTCACGCTTGTATAGTTAGAAATTGATCGACTATTGTAATCACACAAGCATATTCATTAGTAAAACGTAATTTATATCTACATGCAATATTCGTCTTTATTTAATTAGCATTTTCATAGATCATAATATTCTTTTCTTCCTGACATATGTATGTTTGTCTCGGGAGAATGTTATAGAATACATGAGCATGGTTCTCCTATTTATAAAAGAAAATTAATGTGACATTTTTCACCAGGAGGAAAATTCATCAAATGACCTTCCGACCTGGGTGGGGCCAGAGGGTGAGTCATTCTCTTATAGACTAAAATCCATCCCGTCCTTCTGATGCTCGGTTTTAGAGTGACCTCACAGTTTTTTTTCTTCTTAAAGTAGTCAGTTAGGAAATGCCACATGTTTTTAATAACTATTATTAATACGGTTTTTAGGAACAGAAGAATGAGAATGAAACTGAAGCAGACATTACGCTGTGACTGTCATTTGTTCCAAAAAGTTTGAATTAAGAATAAGTTTAAATACGACCAGTATCGTTTTAAAAAGAAAAAGAAATCATTTATTCATTTTAAAAATGGTTCGTTATTTAAATCAGTTATTTAGCCAGGAGCTATTAAGCTTTAAAAATATACAAATAGTTATTTAATCTACAACCGAATATTACCATTTGATTGCTTACTCTTTACGTCATACCGTTTAGAAGGTCATTAACAGTCGGTTAGTAATTAGGTGAGTTGTTACGCACGTACATAAGTATGATGTATGCGTTCACGGAATATCGGACTTATCGACATAATAATTATGTTGAAAGGGAGTGCGGGATTTTTTGCGGATTCGATCGAGTAAAGTCAATGTTATGGCGCGAAAACAGGAAATCAAGCGGCGCGCTGTGACATTGTCACTTTACAAATCTTAAGTAAATCCTAGTTAAAGCAAACGTGATCAAATAATTTTTGTACAGTAGGTAACTCTTGAGTTATATTTAATTTATAGAAAACTAGCTACACCCGCTGCTCGGCTCCATTGAAACGTAGCGTTATGTTTTATAGCCCAAAGCACTCAGGATCATTATAGCTATCAATCAGTGACAAAATTTTGGAAATCCGACCTGCGGTTCCAAAGATTACCCCCTACCTACAACCTTACAAATTTTACCTCTTTTTATTATTAGTATAGATAACAACTAACATGAATTAACTGAGAAAAACTCAACTAGTTTCAAAGTCACAACGGGACTCTTATTCATACGTAGCGTGGGCGTCGTACAACCGGCTGTTTGATCAAATTGGTGTTAAAACAAACACTAGGTACTCTAAAGACGCATTTTACAATTACTTACGTAAGGATAAGGACGAAGAAGTTCGCATATTGTTGAAATCTGGCGTTAAACGTTAAACACCTATTTCTGATAGAGATTTCTATGCCCATTTGATTTGCAATCTGGAATCTGATTTGCAATTTGGAATCTACCCATCGGAATCTACACTTTTGGAACGAGAAAATAGCTTTACTAAGAGGACTGACCAACAGACTGACACTTTATATCTTTAAAATTTTGTCAAAAGTGCCTGTATGGGGCTAATTGAAATAAATGATTTTGACTGCAAGTACCTTCAATAATGGTTTCACCTAAGCCTAATATTTTTGATAAATAATTATATACACAAAAGTGGTGGTGGTGGACGGAATAAAAATCAGATCTTGAGCAATTAATAAGTATCTATAACTAAAACCACACACGGAAGAGACGCGAGGATCTTCAACTTAAACACAAATCTAACATAGCTAACGAGTACCTAATTACAATTAATAATTTATAAGAGAGGTTTATAAATAAACTCACTAGCTTCAAATTGTCGGTAAAATTTATTAGCACTTATCCGCAACTATGTAAGTACTGCTTTGTGGCTGTTTCGCGGCAGGGGACCGAATGTATTGATGTTCGCAAAAAATAAAACGAAAAGAAAACATTAATGAGCAAAGTCATAAAATAAATTGTCTGTAGTCTGTAGGTCATAAAAGCTTTCACTAAGGCACCGTCTCTAGCATTTTTCTGGCTTAAAGACCATGCGGTTTACTTAAGTTCAAAGTAAGAATGTGGCTGTTTGCATTATTTCTTTATTACCAAAAAATTTTTGTAATTGGATGGCTATTTCAGAAGTTTTCATGTGGGAACAAGCAAAGCATTATTGAGCATTACTTTGACTGCACGGTTGTTGCAGTGGCTGGGCAACTGGCTGCAACAACACTGTGAGATCCACAAATTGTTGTTCCGGGTCTGATTGTGATGTGTAGGTATGTAATTTATATGTTTTTAAACGCACCCAAGACACAGGAGTGATTATACCTACTAAAGATATGTAAGTAAAACTTAACTAGTACTTAGTTGATACCTTTTCTTGTTATAGAAACTGATTTCCTAACCGACTTAATTTCGATGTAAGAATAAGTACCTACCTATTACGTCTTCGGGACTAGAATTAACAAAATGGCCGAAACATACTCTGTATTAGACTGGAAATTAAATAAACAGTGGTTAATAAAGTCGTGTGAAAGTGACAGCTATAGAAAAAGAAAAAAAACCCAATGTAATCTCACGCAAGAGTCGTAACAATGTGCAATGCGCATGTCACGCTTATGCAAAAAGTGTGTTAATATGCATTAGAGGTGCACAATGCATACTTTATCACGTCCAAACGAATGATTTACGGGTAGGAAGCTATCGTGAATGTTTTCCACACTAAATAACGTGGCTAATAAAGTACACGACTAATGAATATTCACAATTACTGTTCATTACTTCCACTTAGATTTCTTCGATTGTGTTGTAATTCACTTTGTGCTATTCCTGTGTCTCTTTGTTGGTATATAATCAGTACTAATCTGTATTAATATTATATGTATATATGTATAATGTTATAAACCCGTTGAGTTGTTTTATTTTGTTGAAAGGCGCTAATCTCTGGAAGTACTTACTAATTCGAATTTAACAATTCTTTTTGTGTTTATTAGTCCATTTATCGAGGAAGTCTATAGGTTTTTTTTATGTGACAACCCCGCCATTTCCTCCCAAAACCACCTGTATCTAAAATAGACACAAGACACAACCATGAAACCACCGAAACACTGAAGTCCGGCGAGGCCCAGTGACATGAATGACTGTCTAGGATCTCGCAACGATATAAATCTTAAGCTATTACTTGCGGAGAAGAAAATGCGGAATATTTTTTACTTGCCTCGGTTAATTTCATGCAGGAGACAGAATCACTTAAACCTTAAAGGCGCAAAAGAGACTGTACAACTGGGAGAAGCCCAGTCACCAAAAATCACGGAAAATTTATTTTTGTAATGGGAACTATGTGTGATCTGTTTTATTTGTTTCCAGTAGGGCTATAAAAGATCACGCTACCATTTGTAGGAGCCGAGCAGGCAGCCGGGCAACCGTCGAAAACCGTGAAGGAAATTAACATTTTCAACAGAAAATATTCAAAACATTGCCTTCGTTGTACACAATATACACATTCTGTGTACAGTAACATATTAAGTTTTATCTACCATGTAAGAAGTAGCAAATACATTTAATTTTAGCGACTCTAAAGTAGATAAATGAAGCTTAATGCTTGGTTAAGTTGAGGTCCATAATTATAAATTACTCGTCCATAAGCCTTGTCATTAAAAACCGTTAATGGGCGGTTTAGCGGTAAAAGGGATAATCCGAGTTTGTAATAAAGGACGTTACATTACTTATATATACATAAAATGCGTTTATTTAATAGAGAATCATATTAATGCACTTTGTTATGCATGTTACTATTAATCACTGTTTGCGTTTCACGGATTTTTTGATGAAATTACGCACTGCGAATGTTTATGCTAGAATCGCGGTCATCCGATTAGATTTTTTTTCAGGTACTGATTCATAAAACACAATAATTAACTTTAAATCAAACCGTAATTAATTATTGTATTGACATTTACTTAAATATAATTTACTTTTTGACTTAATTAAATCTATAATATTGAATAAATGCAAATATTTATGTAATTTATTTATATTTATTAATTACTAGTGAGTTTGATTGGAATGTAAAAATTGTAATTTATAGTTGTTGTATGTCTATAATAGGCTGATTATAGCGCACTATTACCTCAATCATGACCAACCACTGTACCTATCTCTCTCCCTCTCTCTCTCTCTCTCTTTCTTTCCCTCTATCTCTCTCTCTCTCTTTCTTACTTTCTTCTTTTCTTTCTTTCTTTCTGAAATAATCAAGTAGTAATGCATAGGTACTTTACGTTTTTTTAAAAAAGGAACACAATGCAAAGTGTACACAGGTACAGGTTGTCTGTTTTTTATACTTAGGTAGCTTTTGTGTATGTTACCTATTTTATATTTATTTCCATTATATGCCTTAGCTGCTATTTAGTTTACTTTTAAAGTTTATTCTTTTGTGTTTGCGGGTCGTGTATCGGGATCCCTTTTCCTCTCGGAGGTGTGCAGGATGCCGATATTTTCCTTTGTGTTGTATATGTGTATACCTATAAATAAATAAACTTATTAAATATTTTACCTTGTCTGTAGTAAGCTTTTGGCCAATTGGGACAAAGTTCTCGAGCTCTTGTCGCATCTTGTAGGGCTGCTGCAAATTGACCCTGCTTCAATCTTGCTGCTGACCTGCAGGCAATTAATAAGCTGGTATTAGGATAATATAACAACTCTATAGCTACTTCCTAAATAAATACCATTTATAACATACTAAGCTCAAAGTGCGAGAGAGTCCTGTCATGCTTCGGTTCGAAAAGGCTTTCCTGAATCCTTGAATCCCTAAACCCCTTATTTAACTGACCCTTAAAACCAAAACACTAATCCCCAAAGGCCAATAACGCACTTGCTGTTTTTCTGGTACTGCAGGTGTCCTTGAGCGGTACCAAAAAAGACGAATGCATTACCGGTCTTTGGTGATAAGTGTTTCGGAGATTTAGGGACAGATTGGGGGAGGTTAAGAAGGTTAAGGCTTTCAGTAACCTCACTCACACGGCGAAACACAACATTATGGTTGTTTCACGCCGGTTTTTTACAGAACCGTGGTATCACTTTAATCAAGCAGACCCGTTCGTGCCACAGCATGGTTCATTTCTACTATTTACATTCAATGCTGTTGTTACTCCGTAATAACTCATGTCCGTCATTAAATGTAGACTACAATCGTACATAATAATTTCATAATTTCTCCTAATTACGTATACGCGTGACTAATGGTATTAACAGGTATAATAAAACTTGCTTCAGTGTATGATCAGCACCGTTCACTGTTCTATTTGGCGTGGCCTACTGTTATAATGGAGACAGAAAGTTATCCAAGTTGGTGTTAGTATGTATTTGAAAATGTGTACTCGATATTTGATTAGTAGGTAGTCAATATTCTAAACATACTTACTCTGTGCTTACTGCATATTCAACCTCTTCTTTGTTTCATTAAACATTAAAGTGTGGGAGTGCTGTGCTTCGGCACGAATGGGTCGGCTCGACCGGAGTGATACCACGGCCTCACAGAAAACCGGCGTGAAACAACAACAGCGTTGTGTTTCGCCGTGTGAGTGAGGTTTTCGAAGGCCCAATCCTTCCGCTCCCCAATCCCTCAATCTCCAAATCCCTAATCTCTAATCTCCAAAAGGTCGGCAACGCACTCGTAACTACTCTGTCGTTGCGGTTGTCCATGGGTGGCGCTGATTGCTTACCATCAGGTACTCCGTCTGTTCGTTTGATCACATAAAAAAACAATAAAATATCTGAGTTCAGTATCAACCGGGGTTGTGGGTGCAAGGTGCAATAATGTACCACGATCCTGGCCCGAGGCAGGAGAAGGAGCGGGGTGGTTTTTAGAGGGTGGTCAATAAGAGTCTGATACTCACTCTTACCTCAACCATGACTTTTCCCCCTCAAAAAGACACGTTCAGTATCAAATGTATCGAGATTTCTGAAGGTCATAGTGGACATGCCTCGTGGTCAATAATTTGATTTCCAAACATTGCGTTTTGTTTTTAAAGCGATAACTGATACTGAACTTTTCAAGGCGGGAAGATAAGAAGCTCTTTATGCCAAAAATGAAAACCATTTGGAGATTTAATCCAATAACCCTAGTTGCGTAACAAAATACTAATATGTTGGTCTGAATTCTTTCCTCTTATGCGGTGGTGATTATTAATAATACTATTCTTATAGAATTCTTAATAATACTCAGACTTTTGCATCAACCGGGGATTGTCCTTGGATGCACTTTTATATAGTCCATACAGGGATAATTGCCGGCTGATGTCCCATCACATTTAGATTAAAACTGTTCAACGGGCCTCTGCGAGTTGGCTTCGTCTCCTCGTACGCCTTCCAAAGGTCCGGGACCCTGTGGTGCCGTGAAAGGAAAGAAGCTCAGACTCCCTTTTTATTTTTTTTATGGGACAAGCCCGCCGCAACCTCCGCAACCACTGCAACTGTAAGCCAGGATCTACTGTAGATACAACCATGAAAACACCGGAACACTGAAGCCCGGCGCGTCCCAGGGACATGAATGACTGTCTTGAATCCCGCAACAAAATAAATCAGAAGATATTATTTGAGTAGAAGAAAAAAAAAACAAATAGGTAGTTTCCTTAATACTTAGACTTACCGATTACTGTAAAGTATATGGTTGGCAGGGTCCAGAGTTAAGGCATCAGTGTAAAGGGCGACGGCGGTGGCGAAGTCTCCAGCCTGGCAAGCCGCATTAGACGCTCGCACCTTCTCCACGAAGAGCGCCCGTGACGCCGCCCCAAGCGAAGCAGAGCCAGTTGGCTCCACCTGTTGATAAAAATGCACATGTTAAAAACAGCTGAGAACAGATTTAAGCCTGAAAACTTAGCTACTCTTAAAATGGTACCTAACCGGTCACATAAGGCTGATGTTCAGCCCGGGTTGCGCGCTACACCGCATCCTCGGCCCAGAGCCTCGGCCTTCGGAGAAGGAACGGGGAGGTTTTTAGTAAGTAAGAGAGTTTAGAGTCGAGAGACACTCCCTTCTGCCCAACCCTGAGCGGGAGAAGTCATTTGTTGATTTTCCCCTCACAATAAACTGGTACTAAATTTGAACACATTCTAATCAAACATATTTAAATTTCGTAATAGATTTTGTCCTTGATAGATCTGGTTTGATATACTTTTTTTTTATTGATTATAGGTTTGCGCTTGACGCGCGGAATTAAATTATGTAATTCCAACGCACATTCCCCGAAATGCAACCGGTAGAAAACCGACAGGCTAGCAACTCGGCGTCGATGCTCAAGACTTATACATTTATAAACAGAGACTAGATAATTCTTTCCTGTCCTGACTTTGGCTATCGCATCACATCATCAGCCCATAATTGACCACTGCTAAGCAAAGGCCTCTTCTCACACGGAGAAGGTTTGATCATTAATCACCACGCTTATTTAAGGCGGATTGGCGATTTCAAACTTTCGATTAGAAACTATAAATCCAGGTTTCCTCACGACGTGGTATGTTAACTTTGACTTTGCTTTTAATAAAACTTAATGCCGATTCCGTGACTTACAAAACTGTATTTAGGTTAGAAAACAATTTTCTCTACCGTGTAGGCCCACAGACTGACATGTTGGTAGCCACGAACTTTCTAAGTGAAAATTACAGTAATTGACTGAATCACAAGGCACTAGTATGTAGTCTTCTAATTTATTACTGCCCTTTTGCATCATTATATGGAATTAGCCTTGAAAGAAATTGTGTTAAAGAAAATACAGTTTAAAGACCACATGCTAATTTTCTTTATTTTCAAAGAGGGTGAAATCCGTGAGGCGACACACAGGCTATAGCCGGATGTGAAATTCTGACAATTCTGACAATTGGAGATACATATGGAGGTTAAGGCTCCTCATGTATGAGCTGTCTATTTTTAAAACCTGGCAAGTATCAATGGGACTTTTTCCGACGTATACATATGTACTTTCTATGATTATTTAGAGACCACTGACATACGGTGAAGGAAAACATCGTGAGGAAATTGGACTGGACTTATAATTTCTAATTTTAAGTTTGGAATCGCCAATCCGCCTGGAGCAAGCGTGGTGATGAATGCTCAAACCTTCTTCGTGTGAGAAGAGTCCTGGGCACTATGATGATGATCCAGCAGCGGAGGAAAATGAGCTTAAGATGATGATAATGAATCACCATCCCGACCAACCACGTCAGTATCAAAAACAAATCGTTTAACACGTACCGAGAGAAGCAATAAGGGATTGTTTAAAATTACAATGGATGCAAGTACCGCAGTCGATATCGTAATATAAAACCTGAAATCTGTAACCATTGATTCGTAACCACATTATTTTTTACAACCGCATCGTAATGACGCTCTTTTCCAATTTCCTTTGCTCACTTCGCTCTTCGGGTGTTTTCGTAAACACTCGGCTATTATCGAGTACCTACTTATTCGTGTGTATTTTACTTGTTTTACGTTTCGCTGTTAACTGTTTGTAATTGGTTGTTTGAATACTAGTGAATTATATTAACTTATATTTATTTGTAATTGAAAAATGGATTAATAAAAATATATGATTTTTATATTATCTACATATATTTTGTTGGAATCAAATAAATGACATGATTTATAAAGTTTCGACGTTTTGTGAATATTTTATTGTTTTTTGCATTGAAAAGTCAAACATATTTTCCTATAGTAATTATCGTGAGACATACCTACTAAATTTATTAAAAATAACGACTAATTCGCGTGAATTAACTGACAAAAGCTCTACCGTTTTCAAGCTACAACAGGACTCTTATTTATGAGCAGCGTGCGGTTTGCGACGACGTCACGAAGCCGACCAACTAATAGAACTTTTCTATTTTAATTAAGTTAATTCACATGAGTAAGACTAAAAGATTTTTGTGAAATTTGGTACAGACATATAGTTTGGAACTCGAGAAAGGACATAGGATAGTTTTTATACCAAAAATCTGCAGGAAGTCCCAATTCCAAATCCACGCGAACGAAGTCGCGGGCAAAAGCTAGTAGGTATTAAATAAATAGTATAGATAGATAGTAGATACAGATTATAAAAGCAGGCCTCAGTAAGTACACAGTGAGACGCTATCCTGAAAAGAACAAAGAATATGTAATTAACGATATTCATATATTTATTTCGATGGTATTCCAATTAATCGATTCATACTTGACTTTTAATGTAGGTATGTACCTTATCGATATAAAATTCGATTCCTTATGCCTCACTTAAGCTCGATGGATATTAAAGCTTACAATCGATATAGGTTGTAAAGTTATCGATATTAATTGGTTCTGAACTTAATTACTTGTTGAATTAATGCCTTTATAGACAAGTTTGAATGTGGGACGCGAGGACTGTTCTTATGTCAAGAAATATATTACACTTCAATCTAATATTGCCGTTGTTTTTATTACGTACTCTTAAAGTTGATAAGAATGGTATGGTAGTCGAAAATAGCGGGGCATAAAAGGGGTTTTAAAAGTACGTTAAAACTATAGCATTAATTAGAACTACGAAGTAAGTAACTTCGTTGTTTATTAGCTTAGAGGTCATAAATACCAGCTTATGTTGTTTCTGAGCTTTGGACGTTATTTGTCGCGAAGGTGGGAGTTTGGTCTAGCTAGACTGTCTTTCAGAAACCAAATTGAACGGATTACTATTAAAGTCTTCTAAGAAAAACTGTAGCTGAAAAAGCAATAAATTATCCCATTTGAATTATATCTGCATTGTTATCTAACTTTTGTCAAACCTAACAAAGGCTTGATAAAAAAAAGGGTTAGAAACCAAAAAATAAATTATTAGCTTATTAGTAAATCATCTCACATTTTAATATTACAATAAAAACAAAGTTAAGCCAACAACGCGACGTCTCAATCGTTTTCTTCACTTTTCTAAGAAACAACGCAATGAAAACCATTTCATAAATATTTAACAGTCAAAATATTTGTGTTAGCTTACAAAAGCATAAAGGTTCAAACTGTGCCGACGACGCAATAATAGTAAAAAACGACAAATGACAAACTGCTACTGAATTCCTAAACCCTTCGTCTAAGATAGTAACGTTTGTAAACGTTAGAGGGCGTTACTGTACGTGTTCCGTATATAAAATACTATAAAGGAGGTCGAAGGAGACTATAACTCCACTATATAGGTAATTTGTTTAAAATGACTTACAAAGGTTTCAACGAATAAAAGAAATAATTGTGTTTCGTAATCCAAAAGAAAAACGTGAAGATACCCCCGTCAGTACCTTCCACGTAGTAAGCCTTTGACCCTGGTCTTTAAAAATAACTTCGTTGACTTTTATTTATCACACACAATAGCAAAAGCATTCTTAATTAACAATTGTGTTTTAAGCACAAATAAACAACGTTGCGGAATTAAACGAAGGCTTGAAATATTCATTGGTCCATGCACAGCACAGCGCAGAGATCCCTAAAAATAAAGTATTTTAAATTTGAAACGGGCGAGGAGGCGTGAGGCGCGATCGCCACCTGCGCTATCTATCTGACCGCATCGGAAGCGAGAGTATTTTTTTCTCACGGACCGCATTCTCTTACCTTGCCGTGAAACAACCAGCCATTGATCTTCCCCTCCTATACCTTATACATAGCCGCACCACACATTCTTTAACTAAACTCCAGATTAAGTTACAGAGTAATGTATTTCGTACTGTTTCAAAGCACCGATTTAATGCATTTTCGTGTGTTGTGTGGTGCAGGCGGACAGAGAAGGCGCCCTTTTACCTATGGCCGGGGTCCTCAGATACGCTACACACTCGTGAACGTGATCTTTGTGCTGTAACAATGACGAATTGACTAAAAAGGGCATTGTTTAATGATGGTAACAATGTGTATAGACAGACCCGTTTTGGGATATGTGTGGTGGGAAGATGGGAAATACGTGAACTGAGAATGCTGGAAAAAGTAACATTTAAATTTAAAACATAGAGATTGCTATAAAGGTTAGGCCAAGGTCACAAGGGTCGTTCGTTGATCTTACCGAACGGGCTAGGACCATTATAAGGAGAAGGAACAACGCCTGGACTATTGAAATTATATAAACTACATTTCTCTATACCTCGAACGATGTAACTGTGATGATAGCTGACTTAAATATCTCCAAATATGGCAAAGTCTATGTTGAACAGAAACTACGATTCCCGGAAAACATGTTGCATTCCTTTTCCGGGTCGCTAAGTTGTGCGTTCAGCAAATATTGAACGGCGATACGCCCATTCTGCGCTGTGAGTTCAAAAATTATCATTTCATTTTCATAGCGGCGACATTCGATAAGTTTACCATAAACGGTAAGTTTGCGTACCATCATTACGAGCGTTTATCAATGCGCTCCCGTGTCGTACAGCGGGCGCATGCGCATCCGCCGGTAATGATCGCCGATTGTTTCGGCCATCTTGAAATATGAGCGACGTAATCGAGCCTTATTCGCTTTATTAAAATTTCGTTTAAAGAGGCGCCTGATAACCGTTCGCTGGACGGATTGGGTAATTATTTTTTCTTGAAACGACCTTTCATTTATCTTGTAACGTTACTTTTTTAAATGAAATGATGCGGACCGCCCCACGACGCTTAGTGAACGTCATATTGGAAGAATTTTTAATATCGGCGTAGTTAATTAAAGTGTGTTTAAACATTATCCGTCGATTTATCAAAATGTAATTGCGAGTAGAAAATGTGCAGCGTGTAATGTAAATACATGGTCAGACCGACCGTTCGTAATGAACATTAATAATGAGAACTCTTATCCTTTGAAATTTGCA